AGAGTAGGACATACAGAATGAAAAAAAGGTAAGAAAACCCAAGGCAAAACATAGATGAAGAGAAACAGGTTAAATTAAGTTATAAGAGTTAGTAGGGGGCTGGAGAGATGACTCAGTGGTTAAGAGCATTGCCTGCTCTTCCAAAGGTCCTGAGTTCAATTCCCAGCAACCACATGGTGGCTCACAACCATCTTTTTAAAAAAATATTTTTAAGAAAAAAAAATAAAGAATAAAAAAAATAAAATAAAAAGAAATAAATAAAAAGAAAAAGAAAAAAAAGAGTTAGCGGGACAAGCATAAGATAAGGCCAAGCATTCGTAACTGATAATAAGTCTCCGTGTCATGATTTGGGAGCTGGTTTGTGGCTCAAGAGAAACCCTGCCGTCCAGCAAGGAAAAGAGAATGTGAATCTTCTGAATTTTTATTCTATTAAGTTAGCCAAAATTTTGAAAGAGATTTTTATTTTTTTGGTCTCGTTTTTCAAAAAAGGTTTTCAAAAAGGGTTTCTCTGTGTAACCCTGGCAATCCTGGAACTTACTTTGTAAACCAGGCTGGCTTCCAGTTCAGCGATCCATCTGCCTCTGCCTCCTAAATACTGGGATTAAAGGCATATGCCACCACTGCCCAACAAAAAAAGATATTTAAATTTTATGGTGTGTATGTGAGTGTTTTGCCTACATGTGTGTCTGTGCACCGTGTGTATAGTGGCTGCAGAGGCTAGAGGAGGGTGTCAGCTCCCCTGCTATTGGAGATAAGAGATTGCTGTGAGCTGCTGTGGGTGTCAGGAATCAGATCCAAGTCCCTTGGAAGAGCAGTGTTCTTAGTCATCTGTAACTCCTGCCCCGGGATCTGACACCCTCTTCTTGTCTCTATGGGCACTGCATGCAAACACATGCCATGAAGGTACTTTTACACCCATGCACATAAAACAATAAGATAATAATAATTAAAAAAATTAGACATGGGTGGAGTGATCCACACTTTTAATCCCAGCCCTCAGGAGGCAGAGGCAGGCAGATCAAGTGAGCTGGAGACCAGCCTGGTCTATACAGTGAGTTCCAGGTCAGACATAGTGAAGCCCTGTTTCACGACAAACAAACGACGTGGGGGTGCTGGAGAGATGGCTCAGTGGTTGAGAGTCCTTGTGTTGCCACATGGAACATGTATAGATCTTGCCTGCAGTCTTGAAGAGAGGGCAGCCTTCAGGGGTCAGGTAGTGCCCTACTTCAAAGACACCAACCAGCTTTCCGCGAGAGTGATCCCAATTTGGAAATGTCATGGGAGGCAGACGTGGGTGGATCTCAAAACAAAATGAACCAACAAAGACACCAGACAAGCTGCAAAATGAGTCGATACCATCCCTGGGGCTCCCACACAGTCTCTTAGAGAGAACACAGGATGCCAGGGCACTGATGCTACTAATTGTGACCTGACTTCCTGGGGGCTCCCAGCTTCCTGAGAGCTCATCGACATGAAGGTTAGTATGACCGTAGTATGACCGATTTAACAAAACAGGCATCACTTTTTCAGGTGTGGATCAGATGTGACCAGAAGGCCTTTTTTTTTTTTTAATTCAATTGGGCCTATTAATTTTCCATATCATTGCAGGGCCTTATTCTGAAGTGATCTTCAGGCCAATTTTAAGTATGTGATCCTCTGGTCTTTGAACTAATTTTGAAGAACAAAATAATAATAGCATTTGAGGCTGTCATAAGTTGGACTTGCCCGCTGTCCAAGGGTCAAAGCTGTTTTAGAGCCGAAACGATCCCTCTCATTCGAAGACTTTCACATGTATGCACATGTACACACCAAGAACTACATGCAGTGTGTGCGTCTTACTGCCCCACAACACGATAAACATCCTAAGAAGTTTGCCAGTCTCCGGGCTTTGCCCGCAGGTGTGATTTTATCAGACTGCTTTTTGCAGAACGACTATAGGCTAGCTGAAATTTGTTACTACTATTTCCATTGTAACTCTGAGGATCGGCATCGTGTTCGAGAATGTTGACTTAAGTAAATTCCAGCAGAGCTAAAGATAACCTTTCCCTCAAAGGCTCTCTCTCTCTCTCTCTCTCTCTCTCTCTCTCTCTCTCTCTCTCCCTCTCTCTCTTTCTGCAACGTCATCGAGCGAGGCAAGATTAACCCACCACAACCGAAACAGATCAAAGTCAGTGTAGAGTCCAGGTTTCACCCGTGGAGCGTGCAGGAGAAGACGGGCCTTGCAGCGTGACGGGGTCCGTGGCTCAGCTCATGGAAAAAGACTGCACGACACAGCTTCTGTCTCGGAATTGTAGCTCTCCAGCGTAAAACACACCAAGAGTACCACAGGAGGTTGCGGGGTCCGCTCAAGGGAAACCCTGCTCCCCAGGAGCCCACGGAGCCTCCCAGGAGCCCGTGATGAGTGATCGGTGGACAGACCGACCCGACGGACAGCAAAGCCTAGGCTCGGAGGTCAAGGATTCCGTGGCTGCCCCGCCCCTCCTCCCACCCGATTCCATTTCCCACCCCAACTACCTGAGACTTTTTCCCCTTCCCGATACAGGCTCCTTGCACATTTTCTTCCTCCCTTCTCTCCCCTTCCTCTACCCTCACCCTACTTTCTCCCCCCCCCCTCATCTTTCCGCCGCCTCCTCCCCACCCCCCCCCCCTCTCCTCCTCTTCGTCTCTTCTCCTCCCCCTCCCTCCTGTCCCTTCCCCTCTTCCTCTCTTCTCCTGGCTGCACCTGGGTTTCGCTCACACAATCTGGGGCAGCATGTGGTTCCTAGAGTCTCGGTCAGGAATTTCTAAGAGCAAGTTTGGGCTCGCAGCTCCACTTTGCGTCCGCGGCCTGCAGACAGCTCCACTCCTGTGTCCGCGGTGTTGTGCTTTTGGGGAATGTGGCACCGGTAGCCACACGGATTTTAGGGGACCCAGGGAGAAGCAGAGGAGAGCAGGCAGCGAACGAGGCAGGAAAGCTGCCTCCACAGCCGAATCTGGTGTTTCTGTAGCTGTGCCGGGGAAAGGTGGGTGTAATGATCAGGTGGCCTCAGTAAAAGTACAGATGAGACCACGCAGAGAAGAAAGTGGGTGGTAATCTACTCTCAAAATTGATGGCTTTTTGGTCTTCCGGGGATTCACCTTCCCAAGTCGGGAGCTTGGGGCCTGGGCGTGATGTGGGCGTGTGCAGAGCGCCTGCTTTCCCCAGGGCCAGCTAGCTGGGTCTCACGAGCGGGCAGGCGGTAAATCTAGCTGATGCGTCAGGCATCGTACTAACCGCCTCTCCGACTTCCTTGGCAACGATCCTTATAACGATGTATGTGTCTCCTTCAGACAGATTGAGGTATGGGTAGGCTAAAGGGGCTTGGCCGTGACCACACCACACAGCTCTTCCTGTGTCTCCGTGGGTCTCTGGATCTCAAAATGGACTCCAACATTCCTGATTTGACTTAAAGAGTCTGGGAGTCTTTGGGCAACCTGGTTGCTGAGCAACACCTGGTTAGGGCACGCCAAGAGCTGGAGGTTTCACAATGGGCCCTCTCAGCTCAGCTGCCTCTTCAACCCCCTGGGTGTTGCTGCAGCCAAGTCTGTGTGTGTGATAGGGCTGTATAACTCGTCTCCCTGCGGTTTCTTAGGGAATTTCCCTAGGCCTGTGCAGAAGGACTGCACCATCCAACAAGATTTAAAAGTCACTCCGACTCCCATATTCAGCAAAGACTATGCAATAATGAGGGGCTGACCCGGCCAAAGTTTGAAGGCTTGCTGGAGATGCACTCAGTCATTTCGGATGAACTCTAGAAGGAGGTCTTGGGACAAACTGAGATTTCTGGCCCTGAGGGCATACTTTTCAAGGTGTTTGCTTTGGAGACGAAAGAAATGGAGGCTTGGGAAGAGATGATGGGACAGTTATGATCCAACATGACTATCTGCCCTTTTCTCTTTCACCCCAGCAAGCAGAAAACACCCCATCATGGTGGTTGAAGAACCGCCCCTCCCACAGGAGGTTTTTCTGTTTCCATGGTCTGGTATGTTCAGAAGTCTCCAGAATACACCCTCAAGCCCCATTTCATGCCCACCCCCAAATGAGCTGCTTTGACAAGTCCAGTCTGCTAACCACTCCAGGGTGAAGGCTGGGCTCACATCTGGTGCCCACGCATGTCCCAGCAGAGTGTGGAAGGAGGTGACACCCTGGAGTGACGCCTCAGGCTGCTGTTGGTGGCTTTATTGATTTATTTTTTTGGAGATAGTCTCTCTGTGGTTTTGCTGAGCCTGGACCTTTCTATGTAATCCGGGCTGGCCTCAAACTTGTTGTGATCCTCCTGCCTCTGACTCCTGAGCGTTAGGAATAGAGGTTGAGTCACCATGCCAAGCCATTCCAAGAAGGCTGGGAAGTTCCCTTGACCAGTAGTACCACTCCATTACGTTAGGTTAAGAACTGAGAGGGGTCTTTGCCATACCTTGATACCCAAGCCCTGGTAGGGAGAAAGGGAAGTGGGAGGCCTGTCTGTGACTTCCAATCCATTGAAACTGGAGTCACAGATAGTTGTAAACCCCACGTGGGTACTGGGAACTGAACCTGGGTTCTCTGCAAGTGGTCTTAACTGCTGATCCACCTCTCCACGTCCCTCTCCTGTCCCCACTTGCTTTATGACTGGATTACTCAGTCTTAAAGTTAGGATGGCTTCTCATTGGGCCCAATCCCAGCCCTGTCACATGGATGTCAGCTTATAGCGCTTAAATTTGAGGAACAGTGCCATAGCAGGCCCAGGGTCCCAGAGGATGGTCAGAGACCCCCTTTTTGCTGGGCATCCTGGCGGGGGTGATCAAATGAAGCAAAGTTTGGTATATGTCTTAGGGTTTCTGTTGCTGCAAAGAGACACCATGAACATGACAACTCTTATAAAGGAACACATTTAATTGGGGTGGTGGCTTACAGTTTCAGAGGGTCAGTCCATTATCATCACGGCAGGGAGTGTGGCGGTGTGCAGACAGACATGGCGCCAGAGGAGGCGAGAGTTCTACATCTTGTACAGGTAACAGGAAGCTGACTGAGACCCACTGGACAGTGTCCTGAGCATAGGAAAGCTCAAGGCCCACCCCCACAGTGACACACTTCCTCCTACAAGAACAGACCCACAAGCACACCATACTAACAAGGCCACACCTTCTCATAGTGCCATTCCCTTTGTGGGCCACTTTCTTTCCAAAAGTGCCGTGTGTGGAGTCATTCCTTCCGGAACTGCGGAGGCTCAGGGCCACTTTCCCTCCTGGCTTGCTGCTCTCTGTGCTGGGGACTACCCTGTGTACCCCACTGATTTCCTTCAGTCTATCTGTCACTGTAGAACCCTGTGCCCCACATCTTGCCTGGCGGCTGTGTGTCTCTCCGGATGCTGTTCTTGGTGTCATTCTCAGGGTGCCCAGAGGCGGAAGGGCTCTGCAAACACCACAGGCCATGTAGTTATTTGCCCCGGGAACTCAAGACCATGTAGAGGCAATCCTTGGAGCCCTGTCTGCATGTGGGACGGGGAGCCACAGGTTCGCAGTGGCAGAGCGCTAGGGGAGCTCCTTTGGGTTTCCCCCTCTTCCATCATCCCGGGGAGCGCGAAACCACTTACTTCCGTATGCACGGGCTGTCACTGGCCCCGGTGGAAAATGATGAACGATGAATAATAAAACCGAGACGAAGTTCTACGTAAATCTTTACGGCTCACGGAGACTGTAGAGCAATGAAGATGAAGGGGAGATGAATGATGATGGTATTTTATCTCTTCATTTTGTGGCTGTGAAAACTGAGGTCCAAGGAAGCGGCCTTGTAAAACCTCCCATCGCCCGGCTGCCTGGGTGGAGAGGAACACCCTTCTCCATGGCCAGGGTCCACCACACGCACCGTCCTCCCACCTCTGAAAACAGCTAAGGAGAAAAACCCGGCCTCCAAGCCTCTTCATCTCCCACTATGCTTGTGGAGGGCCGGACCACATTCTCCATTGCTTCTAGGAACAAAGGTAGAGATTGACCTCTGTGACCCCAAGGTGTGGCGGCACACGCCTTTAATCTCAGCGCACGTGCTTTGTAACTCTCTACCGCTGCGTCCCTGCCTACTCCCGAGGTTTCACCTGGGACTGGGAGCAGTCAGCCAATCCGGGAATGACACGTCCAGGGCAGGGTCTGTTTCCTTTATAAGGGATGGGTTCCATCTTATCTGGGTCCCCACGGCCGTGTTGGCTTATGCTCTGCTCCCAAGAGACATAAAGCTATTCTGCAGAAGGATCCTAGTGTTCCGTGTGGTTCTTGCTGGCGAGACGGTAGCGCGGGACATATGCTGATGGTTTCTAACTGTTCAAATGGGCCCTCTTAAAAGTTAATGGCTCCAACAGCCATTGAGGGTCACAACTCCCAGGAGGGTTGACCTAGAGGGAGAAGCAGGTGATGCTTAGAAGCAAAATTGCCTGTGTCTCCTCCCTGGCAACCTAGGGGCTTCTGTCACTCAAGTCCCTGGGTATGTGCCCTCAGTAAATACTGCCTTGTGGAGGCGATTGCTAACTGCAGTGCACGATGCACTCGCCCTCTGGGCCTGGGAGGCTCTGGCAAACGCTGTGTTCTAACCCAGCTAGCCTGCCATCGAATGGAGACTTCTGAGGGTGGAGACCGTGTGTTTAGATCTGCAAAGCCCTCTAGGATTCTGCGAGCGAGTGGCTAGAAAGACCTCGCAGACTAGCTCTGGTGGCAGATCTGTAACTCCCAGCTACTTGGGAGACTGAGGCAAAGGACCTCAAGTTTAAGGCCTGTGTGGGCTGCAGAGGGAGTTCAAGATCAGCCTGGGAAACTTAGTGAGACCCTTTCACAAAATAACAAGTAAAGGCAGCGAGGGGCAGTAGCTCAGTGATGGAGACCTTGCCGGGCATGTGTGTGGTCCTACGAGGTCTCCGCGGCACCGAGGAGCGGCACAACAAAACTCGCAGACGTCGGAGGCTGTGCCTTTGTGGCAGTTACTTCTCTGCCGTTACAATACAGTACTGTGAGCAGACGGAAGAAAGACATTGGCACACAGCTGCAGAGGGCTAAGAATCCACTGTGCTGGGTAGGCAAGGCAGCAAGCCTGGAAGTGGGCAAGCTGTGGACGCCCAAAGCTCCTCCAGTGATGTACTTCCTCCATTAAGGCTGCACCACTGCCCCAAATAGCACCCCCTCACTCCCCCCACCCACTGAGAACCAAGTGTTTCGATACCTGAGTGTTAGTGGAGGCTGCTCGTTCGTTTCGCACCCGCCCAGACCCGAAATAATCACACTGAAACTATATTATTAAAACACTGCTTGGCCTATTAGCTTATGCATATTGCTAGCTAGTTCTTATATCTTAAATTAACCCATTTCTATTAATCTGTGTATCGCCATGTGGTCATGGCCTACCAGTAAGGTTCCATTTGGTGTCTGTCTCCTGCGGTATCTACATGGCTTTTCTGCCTCTGGCTTCTTTCTCTTCCTCTATCTGCTTGGAATGCCCGCCTTGTCCTATTCCACACTGCAATAGGCCCAAACCAGCTTCTTTTTTAACCAATGGCATTCACAGCATCCAGAGGGGAATCCCACATCACCTGAGCCTATATAGGGGACATTTCTCATTCAAACCATCACAACCTTTCTGGTGGTCCAGGTGTGGTGACACACCTAATTACAGTACTTGGCTGGCTGAGGCAGGAGGCTCCTGAGCTGAAGGCCAGTCAGGGCTGCGTAACAAAATCTCAAAAGCAGTAAAATGAAGGCTAACTTAACCCCCAAACTTGCAGTCGGGAGTGGTTACCTTGAGCTGACTTAAGCATGAAGGGAAACGTGAGAACACATCCTGTCTCTTGAAACCCAGCAGCAGATGACTTTGACATAGTCAGGAAGCTTCCAGACAGCCAGGACCCCTGCCTGAGGTTCACATTGTGAGTTCGAGGCCAGCCAGGATTATGTAGGAAGAACCTGCCTCAAAAAAAAAAAAAAATACACATTATGTTGATGTAGAATTGATTGGTTCTAAATATCAGTACACTTTGATTTTTTGTTTTACTTTCTGTAAAAGCACTGACAGTTAATATCTGACATCAACAAAATCTCTTGGGGGTTCTTAAAGATTTTAAGTGTGAGGTACTAGATCAGACTGTTTGAAAACTGCAAATCAAGGGACTGTTGTCTGACTTAAATATCGTGGGTGTTGTTATAATCGGGATCTTGACTGTCTCTCAGGCCTTTGTTAAGTGCCAGCCGGAGGCATTACAGTGTGATGGGAGAGCCCTTAAGACAGGGGGTCTACAGGGAGGAAGTTAGGGTTGGGGGTGTACCCTAGAAGGGGATACTGGCATACCAGCCCTTTTCTCTTTCCTTCTCCTTCTGTTTCCAGGTTGCTTCCATGCAAGTAGCCCTGCTCCACGCGGCCCCTCTCTAAGGTTCTGCCTTACCCCAGGCCCAGCAACACGGGCTCAACCAGCAAAGAATCAAATGAACAGTGAGCTGAAATGAAGCCCTTCTCTCCAGAACTCTGTTTATCACAAGCATTTGCTACAGCAACGCAAAGACAGCCATTCAGCTTCTGCCCTCAAATCCCCTTCCAGAGGGCACTGATCAGGTCTATGTTCGCTCTTCCGCATTCAATTTATGACAAGCAGATGAAGTTGCCTTTGTGCACGCGCACATTTTTTATTTATCCGTCAGGAACTATTTCCCGAGCTCTTGCCCTCCGGAGTGTACATACAGTGGTTGGCTCTCGGACGGAGTGGAGGGCAAGACAAACACAGCTCCTGCCCTCACATAGCTTGTGATCTGGCTTACCAACAAGTAAGCCCCCGTCCCTGCGCTTGGGAGAGACAGCCCACCCCTCACCACCAGGAGGTGAGGGAGAACTGACCCTGCCAGCATGGAGTGACCACCCAGCCTACAGCCCAACATCTACCCCATCGAGGACCTGCTGAAGTTGGTGAAGGGACTGGTCCTGTGGCGCGATACCGGCAGGATCTCCGTGACTCCAGGCAGCTCAGGGATGTGTGAGAGGAGTTCCGGTGAGGATCCAGTGATGATGTGTGCCAGAAACCAGAGACCTTGGGCCAGACCAGTGACTCACTGAAAAGAACATTTGCAAGTGAAGCCACCAGGATGGATGAAGAGCTGTTTGCAGAGGTGAGAAAGATAAAGGAATGGAGAGGTTATTTTATTTATTTATTTATTTTTCGTTCGCTTGCTGGTTTTTGTTTTTTGGTTTTTTTTTTCTTTGAGGGGAAGATATGAGGGGGCTGGGAAGTGAGCAGAATTGGGGTGCATGATGTGAAATCCCAAATATTCAATAAAGAAATTATTATTTTAAAAAGTCTATTTATGCTGGGCGGTGGTGGTGCATGCCTTTAATCCCAGCACTTGGGAGGCAGAGGCAGGCGGATCTCGGTGAGTTTGAGGTCAGCCTGGTCTACAGAGTGAGTTCCAGGACTGTTTCCAAAGCTACATAGAGAAGCCCTGTCTCGAAAACCAAACAAACAACCAAACAAAATAAACAAAAAAGTCTATTTATCTTTCTGAATCTGAAGGTGGAAGGTTAAGGAATTTCCAGGCAGGACACCAAGTCTACCTGGGCTTTGGCTGCATTGGTGCTCAACGTGCAGCAGCTCTTGTTCGTTAGAGCTGTGTTGAAAGGCGGACGGCACGTGCGGGCAAACAGAAGAGACTGATACAAGTTCACGTTAGAAAGCACTGCATTTTTTAGGCAAGTTTTTATTTGGCTGTATATACAATTTAAGCTATTAAAATTTGTACAATATTTACAAATTAAATAATCATCTGAAACTGTCTCCAGAAACTCCTGTAACACACAACACAAAGGAAGAAAGACAGAAGCAGCTAGGCCTGGGCTGCATGGTCCCTGCATGGCCCAGAACCTGTTCTAAACGGGAAAGTCCAGGTACCTAGCCTCACACCTGCTCCTTCTTCCTGGGGCCAAGCATTCAAATCAAAAAGACAAAAGTAAGCCCAAATCCACTAGGTACAGAAACAGTTCCAATCCTGAACTCGAGTCCTGCGGGTTGGAGGGGGCCTGCCTTGGATTCTGGGGAGCAGTGGTTAAGGAGCACCACACACCCTCAGCCAGGCTCACCAGGCAGTGGCTCTTGGGTGAGATGGGGGGGAGAGCCTGGGGAGGGGCAGGACAGGGTCCCTCAGCGCTGCCCGCCTGTCCCCCACCCCCAGGCACTCCTTTCCCTGAGTTGTATGGTTGCAAGTAAGACATGGAATTGCCACAGGACTTAGGGGGCACAGCCACCATCACAAAGGGGCTTTGAGAAGATTAGGGTAGAGGAAGGAGACCGGTGTCAGCCTAGGCAGGAGGGTGGAGCAAGGTCCTCCTTCAGCCCCTCGGGTCTCCGCATTTGGGAACAGAAGTAATACTGTTCGGCACCGCAGCTGCAGCGTGGTCCCACGCTCACATACAGGGCTTGGAGGGGCTTCACCTTCTTCCAGAAAGCAGAGAGGAGGCTTCCCAGAGGTTGAGCCTCGACTTTCAAGGCCCCAGCAGAACACAGCGCAAGTGGTAGAGGAAGGTTAGAGCTGACCAACATCTCCACCTGGCTGCAGGGCCATCGGGATGGATCAACTATGAACCCAACCACTTTTTCTTGGTCTCAGAGATCCTGCCCCTTCTTTCTCAGCTGGGGGCTACTCCCTGGTGCAGACAGAGGGAGCTGGCACTTGGTGGCAGGATGTGTTCCAGAGAGGGCCGCTCGAGAGCAGGGAGGGCCAGGTCTGGGAAGTGTCAGTGGGCAACAGGGGACTCCAGCTTTTGCAGGTGACTCTGCAGGAGTTCTGCAGCCTCAGGCTCTCAGGAGGCTCCTCTGCAGCGCTACTGCCCACGGACTCAGGAGTTGAGGCTTCTCAGCTTCAGAGGATGTTGAGGAGGCTCCTGGGGATGGGGATGGAGCCTCAGAGCTGGGAACGCTGGTGGAGGGGGCAGCCAATACCACTGCAGAGGCAGTCTCTTCAGTGGGGTGACTGAAGTAGCTGGCCTGGGGGGCCCCAAGGAGGCCAGCATAGTGAGGTACTGGTTGATTTGCAGCATGGCGGCATCTAGTAGCATGTGTATGTTGCGCAGACTCTGCAGCCGGGCCTCCAGGAGCAGCCGCTCATGGCCTCCAGCGCCCGCAGCTCCTCTGAGGTCAGGCCGGCAAAGCCCGTAGGGGGCACAGGCATTGCGGGGAAAGTCAAAGGTGGGGGTAGGGTCATACCCATCCAAGGAGGAGGGAAGGGGAAGCCAGGGGCAGCCTCTGGGCCAGGGACAGAACCAGATGCTAGGGCAGAAGTACTGGGGCCAGCAGTTGCAGTGGTGGCCGTTCCACTGGGCCGAGAAACAGCTGCACTGGTGGATGGAGGAGCTGCTGAATTTGACAGGAGAAAGCACTGCATTTTAAAACCAAAATTAACAAAATCACTTATTTGCATGCGAGTGCCAGTGTGTGTGTGTGTGTGTGTGTGTGTGCAGTTGGAGGTCAAAGGGGCATCAGATCACCTGGAGCTGGAGTTGCAGACAGTTGTGAGCTACCTTATGTGGGTGTTGAGTATGGAACTCAGTCCTCTGCAAGAGGAGCGTGTGCTCTTAGCCCCGGAAAGCATTGCATTTGGATTACAGAGAGATTCTTCATTCTTGAAGCAGCTGGCTGGGGGAAGGCATGACTGAGCAGCTGAGTGTACGCTGAAAACGTGATTCAGATGGTCCTGACCGACCAACACGCTTCCAGAAACACTTGGGAAGCTGTCGTACAGCCGGAAGGAGGCCGGCTTCTAGGTGTGGCTAGTGGCTAGCTGGGCTGGGATGGAAAATCCAGGATTTGTAAAAGTACGGCAGGTAAAAATATGAGACGTAAGAGGAACCGAACTTCATGGTTTAGGCAAATGTAATGGGATGGAAGGTCAAGGCAGTACACAGATGATCTGCCAGGCAGAGGTTCCGTGTGGAGTGCTGGTGGATAACACAGAGATGTAGGAGAGAGGATGGGAGATCAGAGTCATCTGCGAAGATGAACAACTGCTTCTCTGAACGTTGCTCATCCCAGATTCGATGGATGTCTCTGCTGTTTGGTATAAGGCTCCATCTCCAGCTTCACTCGAGACAACATTGTCGTAGAGAGCACACCATAGTTTGCTGCTGTGATAAAACACCACAACTAAAAGCCACTTATGGAACAAAGAGCTCATTTGGACTTATGGTTCCGGAAGGAGACTCCATAATGGTGGGGAAGCATGGGAGAAGGGGACCAGGGCAGGAAGCTGAGAGATCATACGTCCAACAGCAAATCTGAACAGAGAGAGCAAGCTGGAAGGGGAGCAAACTACAATCCCTCAAAGTCTGCCCCCAGTGACACAATTCCTCCAGCAAATGCTCCACTTCCTGAAAGTTCCACAGCCTCAAACAGCGCCACCTACTGGGCATCAAGTGTTCAAATACATGAGCCCGTGAGGGACATTTCTCATTCAAACTGCCACACATGCAAAAGAATCAGTGGGTGATACAAAGAAAACAATACGTCATCTATTAAGTTGCTAGACCTGGGGGTCATACACCTTTTTGAAAATTGTTTTAATTTTTTTTTTAGATAAGGTCTGACTGTGTATGTACCCCATGCTGATTTGGAACTGGTGACCTTTCTCCCTGGATTTCAGGAATATACCACCGCACCCAGCTCCAAATTCTTTTAATAGACTGGAGCAATTTAGCAAGTATAATATGATGGGATTTAATAGATTAATATTCTAAATTGAGTCACTTGAAACCATTCAAATCGCTTATTTAGGGGGAACTGGGATGCGGCAAATACACAGAAGACCTCACCACCACAAGATAGCAACTTGGTTCCTAGAAGTTTCAGATTCCTGGCAGGGACTACATGGCTTTGCAATCCTCCTGCCTCAGCCTCTGGAGTGTTGGGAATACAGGTGTGTATTGGGATAGAGTATTTCTCTGTGAGGCAGAACCCTTTTTTTGAAAAGGACACTCACAAAAAGGACACAAAGTTCAGGGAACACTGAATATAGAGTTTTGTATATTTTTAAAAAATGTCAAAACACTTGTTGTGTGTGTGTGTGTGTGTGTGTGTGTGTGTGTGTGTGTGTAGACCTCAGAGAACACTTGCCAGAGTAAGTTCCTCTCCTTCCACAGGTGGGCTCCAGAGATAGCCTTCACATCGTTGGGCTAGGCAGGCTTGCCTTTACCTGCAGAGCCGCCTTGCCGGCTTGCGTTGTTTTATTTATCAGATAAAACAGATAGAGATAAAGGTGCTTATGGAGGACTCCGTTTCCCCATTCAGAGAAAAGGGGCCCAAACCCAACATAGCCAGAAGCCAGGCAGCCTTTAGCTCTCGTCCCCAGCTTAGCCTCATTCCTAGTGGCTCCAAATAGGCCAGAGGGCCCAGATACTGCCCTGAAGGGTGTTGTGGGAAATTGGAGACAATTTCTCTGGCTTTATGAGGAGATATTTGCAGACTAAAACTCCCAGAGGTTGGAACCACATAGCTAGTGAGGAAGAAAAAAAAAAAAAACAAACCAAAAAAATCAGGAAGTCTTTCCTGGAATTCTGAATTTTTAAATTATTTCAAAACTACAAAGAAAGAAAAAAGCCCAAACAATCTCAGCATATGAAAGACAAACGACCTAAAACCAAGCAACAGATAAACAAAAATCAGGCTACATAGAGGAGGCACGGGTGGACTCTCTTCCCTAACTTCAGCCAGACTCTAGGGTACCGGTTCATAGAAGGAAGTGAGATATATTGTAGATGGTGGTTCCTAGGCACAGAACAGAAATGAATTTTAAGAGACTAGGCTCAGGGGGTCAGAATAGATCAGCGGTTAGATGCCTCTGTCACCTCTGTCCTTGGGTAGAAGGCAGATGATGTTCCTCTCTGGGCATTAGCACTGGGTGGTGGCTTTCACACAGGGCTCTATGACTTTTAGGCCTGGTGAGTTTTGCTCTAAACTCCTGGTTCCCCCTTATGCCCTGATTAGTATGGTTAAAGTACCTATCAGACCAACATTAGGCTAGGGTGCACTCGCTTACAAGTTCATCTGCTTATTGTGTCCCCTGGGAGCCGAGGTCTTGATATTCATCTCTGTATCCCCAGCACATAGGGGCAAACTCAGCCCTCAGAGAAGATTTTAAAGCCACTAGGAAATGAGAGGGTTTAAAGAGAGCCCCTCTTACCTTATAACAAAATCAAAGGTCCTTGCTTGGCTTGAAAGCTGGGAGTTTTCTTCCCCAAACTTGAGTTTTCAAGCACTGGGCATCAGAAATGTTGCTGCCTAAAAAGAATTACTCGTTGCTTTTGAGGTCAGGGTGACCGGGACAGGACCTGAGTCTCTGCGTGACCACTCAATCACTCCTGCAGGGCTTGACACCCAGTAAATGACTTGTAAGTATTTGATTAAAAAAAAAAAGAGAGAGAGAGAGACCTCCCCCACTACCCCTCAAACAAGAACCAGGATGTTCCGAGGCCAGGAAATCCGTTCCTCTGACTGCGTCCCAGCCTCCTCCTAGCGCCTCCATTTGCTGAGCTCACAGTGGATTCGGAGGCCAGGAAAGCGACACCTGCCGGCGGTTGTCGGTAGTGCGGCTCCCCCAAGCCTGGCATCCTGCAGGCAGGGCAGTTACAGGCCCGAGGCCAGGGCGCCTGCCTGTGCAAGCTAGTTCTTGATTCGGCTGCTTAAGGGCACAGTACGGTTTCCTTTGAATGATCTTCCAAAACTTCTCCAACAGACATGTCTAGGGGACCCCGTATGTCTTCTGACTTTGGCCCCGGGTGACGTCTTTAGTTAGCCTACTCCCCCACCCCATGCCTACCTACTGTTTACAGCGTCCTGCGTGCCCAGTGTCTATATTACTTCCTAAGTGAATTTCATTAATTTCAACTCTTTATCGAATAGGTGGAGTCCCCTTTCTTCGCTCATTAGGTCCCTCCCTGTGCTTCCAGTAGCAGAGAGAGAGAGAGAGAGAGAGAGAGAGAGAGAGAGAGAGAGAGAGAGAGAGAGAGAGAAAGAGAGAGAGAGAGGTGGGGTGGGGCAGGGGAGGGGACCCTGACATTCGAGGCCAGTCTGAGCTAGGTATTTTGCCTCAAAATCAAAGAGAAAATTAAAAAAAAAAAAAGACATCATTGGTAATTGTATTGAAAAGGTTCCCTGCCAACCTGATTGTCCTGGCTTCAGGCAGAAACCCTAACTAGTGTGTGGTGACAGGGCCAATCACAGAGGCTACCACAATGCAGCAAGAACACAGCAAGTACAATTCCCTACCTGTCCCGGCTGTGCAGGTCTAACCTCAGTTTTGAAATCACCCACTTTCATCGTCACCAAGGACCGGAATAGGGAAACTCCAGGAAGCCTTGGAGACACGAGTCTACCTGGAGCTGCTGGTTTAGGGCTCGTCCCTTCAAGGAGGGGAGAGATTTGAGTTCTTGTGAGGCTGGCAAATGGTCAGGGCCCTTCTGTAGGAGGGAACTGTGCGATGGGAGGTTTTAGGGTGCAGCTTGCTGGGAGGTTCCAGGTGCTGCTTGCTGTCTGGGTGGACAGGTAGTGTAGTGGTCTGAGCGGTGAAGCTTCTCTGAAGGTCAGGAAGGAAGTGGGGAGCCTGAAGTTAGTACATGAGCGGTCAGAGTTCCCCCAGCTGCCAGGAACTTGTTAGGGATGGGGATTTCAAGGTCCTGAAGTGAATAGTGTTGACTTGTCTCTGAGGGTGGGTCTGCTCATTAGGTCTCTGTCTTCTAAGGGCTGGGGGTGGAACCTGGGGCCTTTAAGGAGCCCCACAGGTAGTTCTGCTGTTCTGTAAAACTTGACAAGGGGCTGGATGTAGTTTAGTGGTGCAGGAGTGTTGGGACAAGCAAACAGCGAGGCTGGGAGGTTCCCCAAACTCCTATAATAATAATTCAGGAAACTGAGGCAGGAGGATCAAAAGTTCAAGGCCAGTCTGGGCTCCATAGTGAGACCCTATTTCAAACGTCCAAAGTCAAAAAAGGTAAGTTTGCAAGCCTCTGAGTTAGAGAAGCGCTGGGTGGCTGGTGGGAAGTCTTGGGAGACAGAGAACAAGGGTGTCCCACCACTAGGTACGGGTGTGGGGGAGGGGAACTGGTTTATGTGAGAGCTTGCTGAGTTTGTGCCATCTGAGCCACACTGAATGCCAAAGTGCAAAAATCACAATGAACCAAAAGAGCTTAATTAGCTTTATTTTGATCTTAATGTGACTCCAGGTAGAACATGCGGGGTGGGGGGGGGATTTCTTGAAGCCACCAGAAAAGTGAGAGCTGAAAGTACAGGTGGGGAGAGTCCCCCCCCAGCCCCCAAGCCCTAGAGTTGAAATGAGAGCAGTGTCTGGGTTCACTGCGGAACTCAGGGTGCTGAGAGGCCACCAGACGGGAGAAGTCAAGAAGTTTAAAACCATACACAGGCGACCTGGGCAAAGAGAAAGAAAGAAAACCCTGTGTCAGGTCACTGAGGCAGAGCAGTGAGACATCCCAGTAAGGGGAGTAGAGAGAGCCGCCTCGAACTGTGCTTTCACACCGGCTGTGACCCGACGACCTCGGTGAGAAACCAGGATGTTAAAGGGCAGTAGACTGGGCGCTGTCGGGATGGTTCAGTGGTTAGGAGCACATCCTGCTCTCCCAGGGGCCTGGGTGCTGTTCCCAGCCTCCAACAGAGCCAGCTCTAATTGTAACTCCAGCTCCAGATGCCATCATCTGGACTCTGTGGTCCCCTGCATACACATGCACCTACACACACACACACACGCACGCACGCACACACACATGCGCACACACACACTCACACACACACACAGACACGCACACACACACAGACACGCACACACACACATGCGCACACACACACACTCACACACACAATATCTGAGGGTTATTTCACAGGGCACAACTTCCTGTGTAGCCCTCAGGCTGGCCGCTAACTCGGAGCTCTGCCTGCCTCTGCCTCCTGTGTGCTGGGATTAGAGGTTTGCGGTTCATCACCCTTCACTCTTTCTTGGCTTTGTTCTTCCCAGGACTCCAGCCCACAGAATGATCGCCACGTGGAAGGTGGATCTTCCCACTTCAGTTACCTTGGCCTAGAAACTCTTTCACAGGCACGCACGCTCAGAAACTTGTCTCGTATGTGATCCTAGATCTGGTCATGGTGACAATATTGATCACCATAGGTGGAACATTTGACAAAGTTCTGATCGATGCCTGCCTCCCTTTCTTCCTTTCTCCCTCCCTCTCTCCCTTCCTCTCTCCCTTCCTTCCTCTCTCCCTCCCTCCCTCCCTCCCTCCCTTCCTTCCTCTCTCCCTCCCTCCCTCCCTTCCTTTCTCCCTTTCTTCTCTCTCTCTCTCCCTCTCTCTTGCTTTTTAATAGCTCGGGCTGTCCTAGAACTTGCTCTGTAGACCAGGCTAGCCTCCAACTCACAGAGCACCACCTGCCCCTGCCTGGGATTAAAGGCAAGCACCGGCTCAATGCCTTTCAAAAGACTCAGCTATTATGAAAAGTGAGGCAACACCGAGGAACTCTGAGAAACCTCAGGCCCCTGGAACTGCGAAGGACAATACTGGGAAACAGGAGTCTTAAGATTGCTCTGGAACATTGTACAGGTCTAATTTCCTGATTGTGACATCAGCTATGTTAGCATATATTTAGTTGGGTGAGGAATATATGGAAATTCAATAGTTGCCACTTGGGATGTTTTTTAAAAATTTTTGAGGTTATAAAGCATTCTCTCTTGGGATTTTTTAATTAAAGTCTTCCTGTCTGACTTCCTATCGTCCTGCCTCAGTCTCGGAATGCCTAGCTTTTGCTTACTTGTTTGCTTGTTTTTTTTTTTTTTAATTTTTGGTTTTTTTTTTTTTTTTAAACAAAGCTGAATGTAGCCCAAGTTGGCCTTGAACTGCTGACCGTCCTGACTCTACCTCCCAACTACTGCAATCTCAGGCCATAGCCATCCTGCCAGGTTTACCCCGGGCTCTTAGTGCAGCTTTTTTTTTTTTTTTATTAAGTCTAAAATTAAATCTAAAAAAGTTCGAAAAGTAAAATCGTTAATTTGTGTGTGTGAACGGCACGGGGTTTGTGATGTAAAATACATTTCTTGTGGACTGTGGGGGGAAGTGTTCACATTCCTGGTCTGCGGGAAGAGCTGGGGGGCTGCCAGGCTGGGCCAGGCAGGGGTGAGGTAGGGAGTGGGGTGGGTCTCAAGGGTCCGCAGCTGAGGATCTGGGGTGTGTGTGTGTGTGTGTGTGTGTGTGTGTGTGTGTGTGTGAGAGAGAGAGAGAGAGAGAGAGAGAGAGAGAGAGAGAGAGAGAGAGTCTGTGGGTTTGATGCTTCCAAGAGCAGGTTGTGGTCAAAGACGTTTGCAGCTGGTACCACAGAGAGGCCTCCCTGCAGCTGTTGGGGCAATGGAGCCCAGAAGAGAAAGGAGCTAGGACCCAGGAAGTTGAGGTGCATTCTGGGGCTAGAGAAGCCTGTGCCAGAACTCTTCCTAGAAGCTATCCCGGCTACTGTGGGGATGCCCAGAAGATGGACTCTAGGGAGAGGGTGGTGTGGGATAGCCTGCGGTGGTGGGGGCATTTTTTTTGTGGGGGGGATGAGCGGTAGTTTCCAAAGGCCACAGGCAATGTGTGCCCCTCTTTCAGCAGCAGCCCTTCAAGAACCCAAAGTATGAAGTACCGCAAGTCCTTTCTCAGCTTCCCCTCCACCTCCACCCACCACATCAGCGACACCAGCGGTTCCCTGCAGGGGTGACTTTGCCCCACCCCACCCCACCCCAGGAGACATTTGGCTAGGTCTGGGGACATTTTCAGTTGTCACACTGAAGGCAGGTGCATGGATAGCATCTAGCGTGGCTGTTGAGCACTCTGAAGGGTGCAGGCCTGCTCCCTGCTCCCTGCCCCCACCCCCACGCGACAGAATGCCCTTCTGGTGCCAAATGTCGGTAGCGCACAGGCTCTGAAAACTTGAATAGGAGGAGGCGAAAATTCAAGCTGTCTCTGATCCAGGAGTTACCCGGGCGCTTTTCATGAAGGAGAGGGTATTAACTTCACTTCCTGGCTGGGTTTCAAGTGGGTAATTATAACCTGCCTACCTGAAATTTACACTGAGTTTCAGTATGTGTCTGTCTTCGTGCTTAAACAAGCCGAGTGTGGCTGTATTCTCGACAACAGGGCGATACACTGTGCCCAGGTCCGTTACAGGTCAGCAGTGTGTTAAACAATTGGTATGCAAAGTGATTTGAAGCCTTCAGGGATTAAAAACCCTGAAAACAAGAAACCTGGGACATTATTGCCAATATTAATTATTAGCGATATTACAGCATTTCTTTCGCCACTCAGGATTCCCACAGGATTCCTATCAGTACTAAGGTTAAAGCCAGATTTGTGACCTTCAGTCTAAACCCACACAGCCTGGAATTAATAAGTTAGCTTTTAAGAGCCGGGTGTTCTCTTCAGTGCCTGTCCCCGGAGCTCGGGAGCCTGGGAGAAGCTTGGCTCCAGGGATGCCGAGCTTCAAAGCGAGTCTCCGGTCTTCTGTTTGTTCTTGCCGTTCCCTGTTTAGAA